CTGTTCGTGGCAGGAGATCAAGCTTCTCACTTCCTCCAAGCGTTTGTAAAGAGATTTTTAAGGGCGGTATTGAGCATCGCTTGCCATCGCCACGGCTGCCTGCATCTACGACTTGCGCAACACCTTTATACGGAAAGCGAGCTAGGAGAGGACGTCCTGCGTTGCAGGCCGTGTTTTCCATCGCTTAGAGAAACAGAAGTTACGCTAGTAGGTGCTGACTGTGTTGTTCCACACTGTGTTACTGCTGAGGTATGGTCCCGTGGCATTATTTCCATAGCAGTCATTCAGTGTCTAGAACACAGGACGGATAGATAGTTGCAGACAGCGTGAATTGGTCCGTGGGGTTTTTTTCTATTCAGCTCATGCTGTTGCACTTTATTTACAGAATGCTCTTTGCAACGTTGCTGCTGCTTACACAACTTTTAGCCTGCCTGAAAATTTCTCTGGCTCACGGTTTATCCGGGTACTTCAAGTTGCTTTCTCGCTCTTGCCTTCCTAGCAGTTTGTACATATTCCTCAGGGGAGTCACTATGCATCTCTAGATCTGCGGAGCCACATTAAATCTTCCTTCTCACTAGCAACAGTGCATACAGCTGCATGGTTAACTGGACCTTGATTAAGACATTGAAACTTGTAACTCCTGTATAAGTGCTCTGACCAAACAGAATATTTCAGGCCTTCTCTTTCTACTTTGAGAGCTTTACAACAACATAATAAAATACTCATTAGAGCAGGAGTAGAGTTTAAGTGACAGTGTCACTGGAATGAATCACTCCCTCTGGGGTGAGTAAATTTCCCGTGTGAAGTGCCCTTTCTAGGGAAGGGAGCTGAGCGCTACTCAGTTTAGATTTGAGAGGTTGGGGCTGTGGTTAGGTCAGGTAACAAGGCACTTTGTTAGGTGACGTAGTTAAGGGCAGGGTTCTGCAGAAAGAAACCGCACTCTATCAGAAAGAAGTGAATAGATAAGATGTTTTCAGAACAGTTCGGTGTTTCTTGCGATTATTCCTGCTTAAGTGAAAATGTTATCCTCACAATTCTGTTTTAACATTGAAGATGCCCAAATTTTCTAGTTGTTTATACTTCTTCTACAAAAGCGTGTAAGTTTCAATGCTTCAGACTCTGAATACATGCAGAACTAGGCAAGTAAACTTCTGAAAATTCAGTGTTGCCATTTTACTTTTTGTTTTTTTTACTGTTTTAACACGCCTACAAAAACTAGTTATTAAAAGCATTTTCTTCAAAAAATTAAGAGATTTTAAAATTTAAAACAAAGAGTATGAAATAATAATGTAAACTATATGCTTTTTTTAAAATTGCGCTTAACTTGATTAGGCCAAGAAGAAGTGAGATGGTAGGGCTTGGAGTTCTGAAGTTCTGCTTCATTATATCTCAAGTGATGAGCACATCAGGGTTCAGAGAGGATGCACGGGGATGGGAGGGCACTAGGATCTAAAAGAGGAGGGTTATGAATATGGAATTTAAAAAGCCCTGTGAGTTCAACACTATACTTACACAGGGCTAATATGTGTGTGCCATGAGGTCTGAGTCATAGAAACTTTGGTCCCTTTTGATGGTGATAAAACAGAAAATTGGCCACTGTTGATAGCTGTGAATCTCTTCATTGCTGAATGGGGCCATTTAAAAAGAATGAAATGATGCCTGCAGGGTTATTATGTTTATTGAGCAGAACTGAAGTAGCTAGCAGCACATAAACGTGATTTCTTTACTGTTGCTCATAGAGACAACATAAACGGTCCTTCCTGTTTCTCATGAATGCAGAACAGAAAGAATCAGACGCTGATGTTCCCAAAGAAGTGCTGCGCAAACAACACTCAGGTGGTCATTCATAGCACGGCAGTGTCATCCTCTCACCACCAGTAACTGAAGGCAATATTGATGATAGGTCCAATTAGAGAGGCTCTACAGAGGAAATGAAGATGCCTAACCATCTTCCAGCTTGTCAACGTGACAGCACCATGGTCTCCTGCAGTCTCAGCTTTATAGCAGAAAAGTTTATTAACTATAGTAAGTATGCCGGATGGGATCCGTCCAAGGCTACTGAGGGAGCTGGCAGAAGTGCTCACCAAGCCACTTTCCATCATTTATCAGCAGGCTAACCGGGGAGGTGCCAGTTGACTGGAGGTTAGCAAATGTATGCCCATCTACATACATGCCCATCTACTTGGCTGGAAGGAGCCAAGGAAGGTTATGGAGCAGATCATCTTGAGTGCCATCACACGGCATATACAGGACAACCAGGTGATGAGGCCCAGTCAGCATGGGTTTATGAAAGGCAGGTCCTGCTTGACTAACCTGATCTTCTATGACAAGGTGATCCGCTTAGTGGACGAGGGAAAGGCTGTGGATGTGGTCTACCTTCAAACCACCCAGAAAATTCAAACCACAAGAAGTAGTGTTAGATATCAGGTACCTACACAAAAACCTGGCTGAAGAATAAGTTCAGCCCATGCGATTCAACATGTTAAGTTACACTTGAAGTCCCAGAACACACCATCTTACCAAGACTCTTACCAAGCTTTTCCACTTGAATAATTTTTTCCATTTGTATCAAAAGCATAAGTCAGTACCTAAAGGAGAACATAATGCATTATTACAGTTCCTAGGATGCTCCACCTGCAGAGATTTGTCTTGCAGTTTTATCCCACAGAGCTAACAGGTAGTTCAATGGGTAAAGCGAAACCACAAGTTTATTCTGTGAGGCATTTCCAACGACACGAACCTACAGAGGAGATCCTATCGGGATAGACCTCACCATTTCTGGTACTATAAATTAACACAGTAGATAAAAATCAAGCAGACTGGAAAGGTATCTCATACAAACCCTACTGAGTGCCTTTTTAACTTGCTTCAAGACATTTGGGAGAAGGAGGAAGGTAAATGATACTTCATCTTACCCAAATGTTAGTGTAACTCCTTCATATTAGCAACTAGCAATAGGACGAGAGGAAATGGCCTCAAGTTGCACCAGGGGAGGTTTAGATTGGACGCGAGGAAAAACTTCTTTAGTGAAGGAGTGGTTAAACATTGGACCAGGCTGCCCAGGGAAGTGGTTGAGTCACCATCCCTGGAGGCATTTAAAAGATGTGTAGATGTGGCACTTAAGGACATGGTTTAGTGGTGGACGTGGTAGTGTTAGCTTAACAGCTGGACTCGATAACCTTAAGGGTGTTTTCCAACCTAAATGATTCTATGATTCTATTCTAGATTAGGCCAGTGGTCTCCAAACTGCTCCTGTCTTGGGTGCTGTGCAAGGAAGTAGAAACTATTTCAATATACTGTGTCACCCATACCTTCTTCCTAGATAGTTTTAGGGTTTCATCAAAGTGAAGTTAACGAAAGACTTCTGCTTATTTCGGTGGATATTGGTCCTTGCATG